AAAATAATTTCAGACAAAAACAGCAAAATTTTTAAAAAGCATAATTTAAATTTTACGCCCGAGGTTTTTAGCGCAATTGCGTCCCTTTTATTTTAGTATTCGCAGCAACTCCCGCTCCCGCTCCCGCTCCCTGCATAGTTTTGCAGGCTCAGATTCCTCGCTCTCCATTGATTCTCTCTTTTATCCTCTTTGGGCTGCTAAAATTGAGTGTTTAATTTCAACTTTTTGTCATGGCGATAGCTTTGGAGTTCATCAATCGATTTTACTGCCGACTATCTAGCCGATTGGTTTAGGAGCTGCTGCTGCACCATTGTTATTCTCTGGAAAAGCATTAAACATTTCAGAAACGGTAATTCTGATGAAAACCCTGATGTTTAATCTTGATTCTTCAACCAAAGCTCTCGCGATTATCTTCAACATGCATCTATGGTCAAACGGCAACTTAACAAGTTCCTAGTTCCCCAATTTTAGTATTATACTAGAATTTTAGGATATTTTTTGTTAGATTTTTATACTGTTGGGATATTTTGGTGTTAGTTGAATTAACCATAGCATTTTGAGTGCATCTAAATTCACCCATAACATCTCAAGTGCATTCAAATTCACCAATTTTTGTACTACGACAATGTTATAGTATTTCTGTTAAATTTTTATATTGTTGGTGATATTTTGATGTTAGTTGAATTTTAGTGCGTCTACTGATTTTGCTTCAGTATCATATTTTTTTCCCTACTAAAAACTGATGTAGAGTTAAATAGTTAAAAGCTTAGCACCAGAAATTTAGAACAAACAGAAACTTTCAATAATCAAATTGTCTATAAAGAAACATAATAACTGTGGCTGTGTGGCTCTGGTTTGCTTGATTTAATAGCTATCCATTTCTTCTCGGAGGCTGAAGGCAGCCTGGCATTGAAAAGAAAAAATCTATTTCTCAAAGCTTGATGCTTAGTTTACAGAAATGAAACGAACCGCAAATTTTCAAGTTGTCAGGGGAAGCGGAAACATATATATTAGTGGGAAAGGAGAAACATATGAATAAGTGGGAAAGAGGAAACATATATATTAGTGGAATTAATCTATAAATAAAGAGAGGATAATTGTATCAATAGTGTAGATGTGTTGTTATAGTTTATAATTGAGCTTAGCAGATAAATAATACTCCAGATATAGAGTATCAAGTTCATTGTCAACCTTGCTTCTTAAATGGTGGAAAAGTTCAACTTCTATACCTCAATGTGGTTTCTGAGTTCTCCTGGTGCTGTAGGTGATTTATTTTGGACTTTTTTACCAGAATTTTGTTAAAAGGCAGTTTAAAAAGTTTTCAGATAAATTTTTTCATGCAAAAGTTAAAATGTGAACATGTTTCTCGGAAACAGCAGTTCAAGGTTTAGACGATGTTTATTGTTTCCAATTTTCTTAGTGATGAATCTTAATAGGTTTTAAACTGCTTGAGACGGAATAATGTTATTGGTTTGATGCCTCTCAAATACTCCCATGTGCCCACCATTTCTCTGTACTACTTTCTTGCATGAGATCTATCATTGTTTCTTCTTTGGCCACACATCTGATTTCACTAGCAACTATGTGTCAATGACTCAACTCTTTATTGGTTTATTTCCCTTTTATATTCAAAGTAGTACGAGTATTAGCAGCTTTACCTATTTTCTATTTATGATCTACATCGTAATTGAACAACACTAAATCCTCTAAAAGAATTAAAATAAGATTGGAAGGTACTACTAAAAATTTCCCCCCTTTTTAGTTCTAAATAAGGATAGATTAAAAATATCAAATTTAGAAACATTTATATTTCTTCTTATGATTGAATTTGTTTTCGATCAAACTGTTTTGTTGCTCATTTAGGTTGGTCTGATTCTCAGTGTTGGTTGTTGCTTAGTATGTTAGAGATTTAGTCCTGTAGCTGGTCTTATAGAAGTTTTCTTTTGAATTGATGCTTATTTTGGATTTTGAAGTTTGTAAATTTGATGTTATGATTGTGACTTAGCTTTAGATTCCATCTGAGAAGGACAAGGTGTGTTGGTTCTCTTTCCACTCTCTTCTGTTAGTACCCAGGTGAGTGTAAGAGCCAAAATCTGAAGAGGCCTCATATAGAAGGAAAACGTGCCCCCTCTTATAAAGAGGTAGTGAACTAGGATACTAAATCAATGGGACCCCCTCATAAATGACAGCATCAATGACCCAACTACCAACCGAAAGGATAAACCCAAGCTCTTACACCGTCTGGACCCAACAATTGGGATTTGGGAAGAGGTGATAATGGTTCAGAGATGTGCTTACCATGATGATTGGAACTTGTAAGGCCCCAATAGTAAACACCGACCTAGGTAAGGAAGGGCAAAGAGGGAAATTCACCATCTTCAAGTAGGGGTTCTTATATGCTTTTGGAGTCTGGGGGGTATGCTTTGTTTGTTTTGGGTAATACTGGGTAGGGAGAGAACCATCACTCTCTAAAGGGCTGGAAAGACTTTTGTATTGCCTTAGTGCTTGTTCTTCTAGTTTTTCAGCTTGAATATAAATATTTTGGTGAGGGGATACCTTATAGAACTCCATTAAAGAGGCCATAAATGACCACCTGAAATTTGGCAAGATGAATGTGGCTAGTTTCATTGAGGACAAGATGACACCCTCCTACGGAAGATGGATAAGAGTCTCCAATCTCCCAGTTAATTATGGAACTTTGTAATCTTTCACTTCAAAGGTGAGAAATGTGGAGGCTATGAAGAAACAACAAAGAAGACACAAAGAAGACTCGATCTCGTGGAGGTAAGGATCAAAGTGATGCAGCGTAAGCCCTAAAATAGTTAGTTACCTGTTAGCATACTAGCTGTTAGTTGCTTACTTGGTTAGTTAGCCATTTTTTAGTTGCAATGCTACTATAAATACCCGTGTTTAGATGGTAAAAGGAAGATCATTATCATCAATAAAGTTTCTCTCCTTTGGTTTATGCCAAATTGGTATCAGAGCAACCCCGTGAGAGGGCCTACCTTTGGAAGTAACGCAGTTTAGTCTAATACTAATAGGGAGTTTAGAGCGAAACTCCACCAAAATCCGCAAACCATTTTCTCACCAAGAACATCAAAGTTCAATGTATGATGGATACAGCGACCAGAAAATTGGATCAACTGGTTGTACAGTCAATGAGATGCATCAAGAACAGAGGAACAACTCCGTAGTAAATACTATGAGCTTTTTCCACCACGTAAACCTCAAGAATGCAGAAACAAAGGGAGCTTCCGATTTTTCCAGCAAAGAAGACGAGTTTTTCAGTTGGCTTATATATGGCCAACCAAGAAGCCCTAATTTGCCAGTGAAAGATTTAAACTAACCTAATAATTATTACAAGCAAATGAAGACTAAATAAAAGGGGTTTGGGCTAAAAGATGGAGGATGGATTTGTGCCCTTACAAAGACTAATAGAAGTCCAAAGTCAGAAAAGTTCTAAATAATGAAGCTTAATTGGCCTTCTTGGCTTGCCTGGGTGACTGGGCCCTCTTGGTTCATATAACTATCTTTTGAGTTTTTAATAAAATTGACCATTTACTATCGTTAGTAATTTAATCTTTGATTAGGGTGTTTAGCCCAATTTCTGCACTCTCCATTATCTGGTTTTCAATTTCTGATATATTTTTCATGTCTTTTCAAGAGCTTGCAGACTAACGAATCTATATAACTCAAACTTCAGTGTGAAGAATTTCAGAAAGTGGGGAGATAAATGGACGCGAAGGAAGCTGGTTCGCTGCTTGACAATCTAATTGCTGCTTTCAACAGTCGGATTGCGGAGCTCCAAGATCTTGTAATTGCCCGAAACAGTGAGTGGAAATATTTTGGCCTTTATTCATTTTCTTGGCTATAATTCTCTTTGATGCAGAAGCATCACTACCACATGATCGACATCTTGTTGTTACAGTGTATCCGGCAAGTTGTGTCCCTGATTTGTCGGCAGTTGATGCATCACTGAAGGCGATGGAATTGCAGGTGCAGGCAATCAAGAACCAGTTACGAGAAGAAGCAGAAGCAATTCCCAAAGCAAAAGTATTTTCAACCCTTCGTTTTAAGAAAATCATTCTCTCGACTCTACATCCAATTCTGTTTGTCTTTGAACATTTTTTGTTCCTTTTCATCTATCAATGAAAAGTTCGTTTCTTGTTAAAAAAAAAAATTATAAATATTGACTTAAAAATAAAAAACTTATTCAGTGTGAAAGAGATTTGACAAACTTATGGTACCCAAGAAACTCATGAATACTAAAATGACCCTTCATTGACCTGCAAGGTTCTATAAGATCTATAATGCCCGATCATATAACTGCTACTTATCATTCTCATGATGCCATGTATCACTTTGAAAATTTTAAAGAGAATGGAAAAGGACTGCAGGGAACTCATTATCTGATTTAGTGAGCCTTTCAAAATTGTGGCTTTGACAGTTTTACTGCTGTCTTGTGTAGCTAAATCGCTGCCTAGTTGATGTACTATATATGTTATAAAATGGTTCACCAAATGTTGCCAGAAACTTATCGAAGCATCTCTGAAGCAGCAGAAGAGATTAGAAAGTATATCACTTCATGTTCCCACATATCAGATTCAGCCCGAAAGAGTTTCTGCATTGAACTTAAATACCAGGTAACTAATTTGTTTTAAATTCTATAAGAGTTCCATGATCTGAACCCGACTCAATTTTTATTGTTAAGGTAGTTCTGTAAGGTTTTATGGCTTCCATTTTTTCAGTCTTTGTTCAGAGGCCAATAATTCTGGTACTGGATTGGGCTCCCTAGAGGCTAAGGATGTGATTTCCGTCTTACCTAAGGTGTGAATTCTCTTCCTTTTCAAACATAGGACCTTCTACTCTTATACATTGTAGCATTGAACCAAAAACTTAAGCGGAGAAGATTACCCAGGCATCATTCTTTACTTGATCATTAATGTAGATAAAGTGACCTTTATAATGTCAATTTCAGGGGAAGAAAAGTTGTTCCTCTCCACCACTTTGGTACATAACCACTGATGACCTGAATTCACTGTCATCGTGAGTTGTTCTTTCCTCTAGCTTAAGTACATAGGAATAACTGATAGCTAGTTCTTCTTACTTAGAATAACAAGAAGCAATGCTCGAGTAATGATGAAGTTGCTTTCTAGTGTTTAAAAAATTGGAATATGAGTTCCATGCTTCTAAATGGAAAATGGAGCAATGAAGATCCGTTGAAAACATATTCAATTTCAGCTGCTTCATCGACATTTCTTTTGTTTAGCTCATAAGAGACCAAATAATTTTTCCAAGTGTTTAGTGATATTAATGACATTGGATAAAATGCATAACGAGGACAACTCATGAAATTACGAATTTAGATATCAACATTTGAAGTCCCTTTGGGGATATCCGATAAAATTGGAACAATGCAGAGATATCAGCATTTGAAATTTAGGCTCATTTATACAAAATGGCCTATGTTTTTGGTTTCAATTTTGCCTTTCATGTTCTAAGAGTTTCAATTTTACCCCAATCTTTTAATTTGTTTCAAGAAAGACCTTCCATCTACAATTTTCATTATAATTAAAATTCAACCAAATAAATTACACAAAATGTTTCTAACTAATGTGGTTGATTTCAAAATTTCTCCTAAAATCTTTAAAGTTTCAGTTTTTCTCTCAATTTTTTATTTTTTGTTAGACATTTTTAATGGAGATGGCTAACCAAATGATTTTATGAAACAAATTAAAGATTCAAGGGTAGAATTGAATATTTAAAGCATTGGAGCGAAATGAAACCAACCAGGGCACATGCTGTATAACAAAGCCATTGGCATATGATTTCCCTGTAAAGTTGCTGGTAATCCTTTGTTTTTTTGACAAGTCTTGCCAATGCCAACCACAGATATATGAGAGGAAGGTTAACAGTCGACAAGGTCAATGCTGCTGTTAATGACATGGCAACATATGCTGAAGCAAGTGCCCAGCTTATTGCCGTCCCAAAGAAGAAGGTTCATGTTAAATTTTCTCTCTGCTTTAACAAGCATATAGATAGCCACCACTTATATGCTGACAATGGGTACTTTTTGTGAAGCTGGCGGAGAACCTCTGGGATAAAGCTCTGGTAAGTTCGCTTACAGTCTTTGTCCGCATCTCTTTTTATTTGATTCTTCTTCCTTATTCCTTCCTTTCTCTCTCTGCGTTGATGCTTGCAAAACTTGAGATGTGGGTTGTAGGAAAATTGCCAGTGAACGTGTTGCATAACATATTCAGTATATAATATATTCACTAATATAAATACTTTATATATTTGGAAGGACATCTAAACAACTTGTGGATTCATTTGTTGTCTGCTTGAGTAGTGAGACGCTACAAATAGATTGAAAAACTTTGCCCATTTTACTTGATAACTTAGGAGTTAGGAACCCCCTGATGAAGTTGGATGGAGAAAAAGAAAAAAACTGTTTACTATTTGTTCCCAGTCTGATTGGGAAATCCTTGTGCGGTTTCCCTTTGGGGATAAATTCCCCCTGTCACTTGATGAGTGACAGCAGGCAGTGCGACAAGTTGACGAGAGTAGATAATGTTTGATCGATGCTTGTGATGGTAGGAAGGGAAGACAGAGCGATGCTGCTTGGTGAGTGACAATAGTGTCATGCTTCGCGAGAGTAAATGAAGTTTGAGAGAGGTATAAAGTTGGCATTGATAGGTGAAAACAGGTGGGTCATGGGTGACAACACTCCTAGTCCTCAAATATCTTCCGGGCAAGGGCAAATGGCAGAAACAAAGTGAAAGAGAGTGAAAAAATGAGGTAGGGGGCAAATAAGGAGAAGAAACAGATGAAACGGTCATGCCGTCATGGTTTCAAATTTGAAGTATTAATACCAAATAAAATTATAGAGATGGGCCAATGAAATGGCTAAATTAATAAAACTGAATATTAACAATAAAATTATAGGTCTCAAGTTTGAATCTTTCAGTGGGCTCAATTTTAAAAATTCTTGATGTTTCTCAAGTCTGAGCCTTGGGATGGGTGTGGGTGCCCCTGGTTATTTAGAGGAGAAAAGTTCTTACTCTTGGTTATCAAAAAATAAATAAATAAAAAAGAATAATAAAACACCCCTGGAGAACTCAGAAGCTTGTCACTACTTGGATGGCGGGAGATAGACAGCAAACACAAACATGAAGCACTACTTCACCATGAAGAAAGTACGAATAGACGAAGTTGTCTGCAGAGAAAACGACGAACAGTCACGCAAAAACATGAACAGACGAACCCTTCGAGCATGAAGCGACCAACTGAGAATGGAGAGGCATTGTCAAAACTGAGAGACGCTACCGGAAGTAGAGTGCGGTTTCCAGATGGCGGCTGGTTAGATAGCAATAGAAATTAAGGTTTTATTTGCTACTTTGATACTATATTCATTTTGAGAGAATAAAAATATTATGCTATATACAAATTAGTGCAACAAGATTACTTATATATGGGAGGAAGACCTATCACAGCATAAAGAACAAATAAAGATAACAAAGACCAGATATTAACGACTGATGTTTACACCTAAGTATTTATAAAAATATTAGAAATTCCCATATATATATATATGAGTTGAATTTGACCTCGAGCCTGGTCAAATTGGGATTCCCCATGGTGCTCACCTGTTCTTGAGACTTTTTTTCTTTTCTTTTCCTTACCACCTCTGATGTCAATGTTTGCATGCAGGAGCTAAGAGATATAGCAACCATGGAAGCAGTGAAAGGAAAATATTTCTTTCTGGAAACTGACATGAAAGGACCTTCATTAAAACTTGACAATACTGGAAAAGCCATACTAACCGTAAGTTTATGATATATTTATGTGCTCTCTTTACAATCATAGGGACATTGGAGAGCACTAATATATAAAACACTGGTTTTTACTATGATTCCTTAAAACTCAAAGCATTGCTAGTTTGTCTCTTCCAGACTCATTATCATAGTTCATATAGTCCTTAACGTGTAGCTCGGGTTTTTGAAAAATTGTCTACTTTTCTGCTTCACAGGTCCTTCGTCACCTTGGACGTATAAGCGAGACTCGGATTGGACACCAGCGTGTAATTTTACTATTAAAACCATCGTAATCAGCCTTGCGTTTATTCAGAAACAAGATTACCAAGTCTTGCATTGATGAACGTCTAGCCTGTACGAGGATAATCATTTGGTGGTACAACAGAATTGTATAATAGTCGATAATTCTGGCAATCCATTTCTCCAAGATTAACGATCAAATTCGTATATATTGATTGTTTCGAAGAAGGTGAAAGAATCTGGTAACTGAAAAAGTACATTCATTTATAGATAAATTGGGAGAATGGTATGATGTCTGTCTTTGATTATCATGAAAGGAATCCTTGAATTTGAAATGAGGTGGT